AAACACCTCACCTGCTTTATTCTCCAATGGTTTCCTGTGATGTTGCCATGACTGCGGGGGGGGGGCTGAGGCTGTATGTATGTATGTCGTCCTGTGATTTATAAGTCACCATAAATAAATTAGTCCTGTGGAATCTCAATTTGGATTTAAGATTAAACAAAGTTTGTAATTTATTTCGCAAAAACAAAACAAATATTTGAAAATATTATTTTCTGATTCTGAAACTCAGAGAAAGAGAATCATAAGGGAGAGAAAATATGGTCAGTAAATATGAGCTTCATTACAGTTTATTATATATTATTAATTTTTATTTTTTTGTTACTTAAATTATTGATATTTCTGATGTACGCTTTGTTAACATTGTTTTAAAACCTTTGTGTCAATAAAGATGATTGATTTTTATTTAAAACACTTTAGTAACAGTGCTAAACTACAAACAGATTTAATTAATGCACAGAGGAAGAGGGAGCGAGATACAGAGAGAGAGAGAGAGACAGAGAGAGGGTCCAGCAAAACACATACAAGAGGAGAAAGAGGTCTATTTCCATGGCAACAGTGTTTCTCTCACCTACTGCACGTGTCAGAGCTGAAAATACATGCAGTGTTGGAGCATAAGACACACACACACACACACACACATATGCACTGCCCCCATGGATACTGCTCACGTCATCTCATCCACACATGGTAACAGCAGAGAGGAACCTGCTTCATCAACACAAACAGAAAGAGGAGAAACCCTGTTTGTCTCCGGTCCCCGTTTAGAGCGTCACTCACTGTCATACACAGCATGTTTACTGATAGTGAGCTGATAGTCATGCACCATTCATGCACACCAGCGCCCTGTTTACTGGGAATAATCAGTTTGATCAGCAGCATGTCGGTATCCACTATTTAAGTGTTTTGCATGGATTCATTCGCAGCTGTAATAATAGATTTTTTTTTATTCTATGTATTTATTTATTTACTTTGAGGCTTTGGAACATGTTGAAAACACAATACTGACATATTATCACTTTTTATTATTATCTTATTATCACATATGTCCACATGATGTACTCTTTTTGCTTTGCTTTGGCGTCCACCAACTCCTGAGAAAAATATCTGGCTCTTTAAGAGTCATTCCAGATGTGATTTTTATATAGTCATTTTTTTTGTAAATGTTTTTTTCTCCTGGATTTTGTTGTGTACAAAGTTTTTTAGTGTTTGATTGAGATATTTCATAGTCTGTTAAAGGAATCTGAAATTCCCGTTTGCATCACACCTACACCAGATCTTGGTTTTATATCTTTGGACTTGTATTGTTGTGTCTGACCTGTTGGCCGTGTGATTCCCCTGCTTTGGCTGCTCTGATTGGACCCGAGCCGAGCATCACAGCATCTTCAGGGCAACAGCACTTTTCTCAGCCTCCTCATCGTCACTGAGCTCCCTGTCTCCTAGCAACAACGGCCAGGGCTCTCTTAAAGGGGCCAGTTGTAATTTAAGGTCATAAATCATGAGAGGAAGAATAGAAACTACGTATAGCTGCATTAGTGAGCACAGAGCTTGAGCAGGTGAAAAGCTGAATGGAAGGAGAGAAAGGAGAGAAAATGATGGCGGGAGAATGGTTGTCTTGTTATTACAAGCACAGAGACGGAGAGTGGTCTGATGTGGCTGAGCTGAAAATACAGGAGGAGGAGGAGGAGGAGGAGGAGGAGGAGGAGGGGTGACAGGAGCATCTTCTGACAGCCCCCAGACTTATGAGCTGTATGGGTACTTATTGATGGATGATTGATAGACGGGTGGACAGTATAAGCAGGATGGACAGATGAATGGGCAGATGGATACATGATGGATTAATGGATGGATCAAAGACTTTACAACCAGGGTATTTAAGTTAAACAAAAAAAACCAAATATAAACATTAGGTTTGTCTGAAGAGTGAGTAGACGTGTCAAACAGCAGTAACTACAGCAGATACACGTCCGTTCTGCAGCCTGACAGTTATTGACTTTTGCTTATATCTGCATATGTTCGACATTTTCATTCAAATCAAACATTCACAGCTTCCATTATTTACACCCTGCTCTGGCATTTTCAGTGATGCACATCATATGATGTATGTACCGTTGCCTGACGACCATCTGCACCTTAAACATGCATCATTCAAACAAGGCAGCATTTCTGGTCTGCATTTGGAGAAGCCTCTGAAAAGGGGACAGGTTTTGTGTTGGTATTAAGTCTGAAAAAATTTGGACTTTCAAGGACTCCGTTCCTGAATAGAAACGCAGCTACACAAACACTTCCCATTTGAGTCTCAACACAAAGGTATCTGGCTTTTTAGCGAATCATTACAACAACCCTCTTTCAAATGCACACAAGCCTCTTCCTTTCATGAGAAATCTGGATATCTGTGATCGGTGTCTTGCTGCATACAAATGTGCTTGAAGGCAACACTTAGCCGATGGAATTGGATTAACCTCCATTCCATTCACCCACTGTGAGTTAGCTTTCTGTCTGCAGCTGCGCACACACACACGTTAATACCCGCTCTGCTCCATTTACAAAGGGAAAACGCGCACGGTGATCTTCATAATACAGTCGTTCACCAAACTGCTACTCTGCATGTTGAAATAAACACACATGCTGCCTATTGTAACTACGGTTTAAATACCTGGCACATGATTTTGGCTTTGAAATGATCATTAGTCGGGATGTGAATGTTGTTCAGGGAATGAAATGTAAAATGGTGGTTAATGCCGAAGCAGTTTTGTTTTCCTCGGTGATCTTCTCTCCTGATATAGTCCAGACTGTGGTGAATGTGGTTATCATGGCGACTGGGTGTTAACACAACTGTTGCATCGTTGTTCTCCTGTCTTTGGGTTGGTTTTCTTTTTATTCTTTTTTTTTAAATCCACATTACTTTGATCAATACCTGATCCTCACTGATTCAGGGCTGCTGTTTGTTTCTTCCCAATATCTTCGCTAATTAATCTCCCAGTTAGGATCTGACTGATTTGTAGAAGTGGGTGATGATTCATTATCACGTGTCGTCTCACCGTATGAACCTTAAGATAAGAGTTAAAGAGTTTCCTGCGTGACTGGATATAGTAACATATTCACATGGAGATAATCTGATAACAATTATGTGTAATAATTAGTTCAGTCTATGCTTCACTTGATTTTTAAGCATAATGGTAAAATTATTCTTTTTTTTTTCAAACTCTTTCAAACAAAGGTGAAAGCCTCTTAAGGTGTCACATGACACTAAAACCAGACGTGAGATCAGGTTTATAGGCTTTTTAGGTCAAAGCGACTCTTACCTGATTTATAATTTTATTTAATTTTACCTCTATTAGATTTTGTAGTTCTTTTTAGGGCAACAGATTAAGACTCACATGAATCTGCCGTTTGTGTGTTAGTTATGTATTTGTTTATACATGTGAAGCAAAGAGCGAGATCAACACAGTAATAGGCTTAACAGTGACTCTGCTGTCAAAGCAGCTACATCAGCTGACAGGAGGAGTTACCATGTCTTGTGTGTGTGTGTGTGTGTGTGTGTGTGTGTGTGTTTGTGTGTGTGTGTGTGTCTGCAGGGATAGTGATGGTAAGTAAAGCAGACTGTACTGGCCCAGTGCCCTCTGACTTACTGTCTCTCAGATGACGCTCATGTTTGTCATTTGCTTTGATTCCAGCAGTAATGTAAAAGACAGTCGAAGTGAAGCTCAGCACAAAATTAAAAAGCCGCTCTGGTTTGTTTGCAGGAAGAGGACCGGTGCTGCAAAGCCACTCCGTTCATTTCAAGTCTAAAATTGAACAACATTTAATCTATGAAGTTAAGAATTATATCCGAAGTATTATGGTTATAATAATGAATCACAATGACTTTTGCCTTGCTTAATTATGAAATACTTGGTTATAGTTTTGACATGTCTTACATCAGAATTGTGAGATTATCATCTTTGATTTTCTGTGTATTTTTCTTGGGTATGGGATATTGTGATGTTGTAATTCCCTCTGCACTCTTATCCTTGTCCCTGATAAATCTACTGGTGTCCTGTAGAAGCTGCAGGGAATCCCTCAGTGGTTTCCCATCTGTCAACAAGGCTGGTTGTGTTTGTTAGAATAAACGATCAAACTGGGAAGTATCGAACAACAGGTGGTGCAAAAACTAGCCTGGTTCACGACGTTCACATCTCTGATTTTCAGCAATTCAAATACGTCTGGTGATGCACTAACTGATGGCTGTTTCCCCAGCTGGAAAACAGTTGAGCCTGGTCGGCAGTATTGAAAAAAGAAACATCATCTTTCTGTGCCGGAGTAAAGAGAACAGCAACAGAGTACCAAGGACAACTTAGTTCAGCTGGTTAGCATGCTAACATTCGCTAATTAGCACTAAACAGCTCAGGCTGTCAGAGGATCAGAGTTATTACCATTCATCCATTGGGGACAATGAATGTCTGTGCATAACTTCTCAGAAATACATCAAATACTCGTCGACATATTTCATTAAAAACCAAAAACATCAACCTGATGGTGGCAGTAGTAGAGAGGTCAGGGCATCGAGGAGGGCAGGGGAGTTCATCCTCTGGGGACCGTGCATCTTCGTACCACATTGCTAACATTGCTCAAAAAACAGCCAGATGGCCAGAAGCATGGAGTAAAGTTACAGAAATAACAACTCAGATATATTTCTTCTATCAACTTGGAAGCAATGAGAGTTAACAGCAGTCTTCATTAAAAGAGACAAAGAGCTGTGAGAGTGAAGGCTGTTCATTCATTCACTCATCACCACAGGTACAATGTGGAGGAGCTGAAGCTGGGAAGAGTTTCTGTCTCTGCTTTAAGCTGCTCAGTGTTGGCAGCGAGAGTGTTACAGTCTGAACGCGGAGCAGCTTCTAATTGGCCGGTTCAGTCTCCTCATCCCATCCACATACACACTCTCTCGCTCTCCCTCTCTCTCTCTCTCTCTCTCTCCTTTGCTGCCTCGACTGACGGCTTGTTTCCTCCAATCCCTGCAGGGCCATGTGAGGCGGGGAACCAATAGCATGTCAGGGAGGGCGGAGCTGGGCGCCGTCGGCCAGCTTCAGGCAGAGATGCTGCATTTGGACCTTATAGACGGTGCTGACAGTTACCGCGGTGACAAAGAGTCCTTGAAGGCATCCGCCATCGCACCCCCGCCAGCCACCAAGGACCCTGCAGCACCTGTTACCATGGATACCTACCGGCCCAAGAGACCCACGACCCTTAACCTCTTCCCAATTGTGCCGCGCACACAGGTAAAGCCTAAATTAATCTTATCACACACACACACACACTGAATATTGATTAAAAAGCAGGGGGAGTGGAGGAAATGTTTCAGTGAGTGAGCCTGTGTGAGTTCCTCCTCACACACAAATATTATACACATTTTAAAAAAAAAAGGGAGATATGAATGGACCACCTGCGTGACATCACCACAAGATTCATTACAATTCTGCCTCTGACAGAATCTGTTTATTGGACGGAACAATAGCCGCAATTGTCTGGACACAGAGATTTTTTTTTCCTTGGTGCCCGTCTCTGTTTGTGTTTGAATGCTGCTGGAGCTCGTGACTGTGTGTGTGTGTGTGTGTGTGTGTGTGTGTCTGTGTGTGTGTGTGTGTGTCTGTGTGTGTCTTCTTGTACTTCAAGCTTTGTGAGGACCAGTGTCAGCTCAAGATGGAGGACAGGTTGTCTTCAAAGGGGCTGTTTGAGGAACTATTTTTAAGCTTCACGGCAGAATGGGGTTTAGGTTGAGATTAAGAGCAACAGAAGGTCCAGTCTCAACGAGGGTCCTCACAAGTACAGACATACAGACATGAGTACGTGTGTTTGGGTGAGGCTGTGTGTGACGGTGAAGGTATGTGATGGTCAGTGTCTGTTGATCTCATGTTCATACAGCAGAGCTATGCTCCATGTTCTCCTTCATTAAATGGACACACTACTGGTGTGTGTGTGTGTGTGTGTGTGCGTGTGTGTGTGTGTGTGTGTGTGTATTAAACACAGACAACTGCCAGCAAATCCTCCAAATTAAACAACAAGATTAATCTTTTGTAACTGCCCTCTAAAGCGACACATAAAACTGTCTCGGATCTGACGCCCCTGACAGCCGCGTCACATCATTCGTCTGTGACTTCCAAAGCAATCGCAAATCACTGTTGGAAAATAAATGTGTTTAATGATGTGACAACACTGTGGTTGTTAAGGTTGTGAAAAAATGACCTTATTAGCTTTAAAATGAAGACAATAAGTTTCAGGTTAGGGAATAATTGTGGTCATACTTGAGTTCACTATAGGCAACGGGAAACAAACAGCGATCTCACATGTTGAAGGCCAATCCACACACACCTCCTCCTTACACAGACTGTGTTGCTCTATGAGAAGGTCACATGACTTCCTCCTTTTCTGTTGTCATAGTTACTTCAGCCCCTAAAGGGCTTTGCCTCTTGGGTCAGCTGGTAGTTGCCATCGCTAATATGTCAGCAAACACACACACGACCTACATATCCAGCAGACACATTAGCATTCCTTTGAAGTTGCGTGTCCACTGGCAAGATCAATGTTCGCTCTCAGCCCGAGCCAGGGCTCCGTTAACTAGCTGCTAGATTGCTTGTTGCTAACTTTGTCTTGCCATGTGGTTGTGGGCAGGGTTGGTTCAGGTTCAGTGGGTTTATCACGACTTGTTTCAGTCAAAACAGCTGCTGAAAGCCAAGCTGACGAGAGAGGTGAGAGTAAACCGTTCAGTAAATCTGCGTGAAACCAAAACAATGAGCTGAAAGCTCTGTAGACCTGCAGAGGGATTCATGCGCCATGAATAAAATGATTCAAAGAAACAAATTAAATGATTTTTGGATTTGGATTTGTGCATTTAAATGCCTGTATGGTGACACTCTTGTTATGCAATGTGTACAGTAATGTGCATGTTAGTGAGTTTGCCCATGACTTTAACACACACACACACACACACACACACACACAATCACACACACACACACACACACAATCACACACACACTCCCCCACAGTATAGACTGTCAACATGATCAACCAAGCGGCGCTATATTTGTCTGCGCTTTGTTCTTTGCCCAGTTTCCATGAGGTGGAAACAAGCCTACTGTACTTGCTGCTGTGCCTTTGTTCTTGTGCGTGGGCGTGTGTGTGTGTGTATGTGAGTAAGTGTGTGTGTGTGTGTGTGTGTGTGTGTGTGTGTGTGTGTGTGTGTGTGTGTGTGTGTGTGTGTGTGAGAGAGAGAGAGCTGTCAGAACTAAAAAGCATAAAGGAAATAATTGCTTTGAAACACTTTTCTTCTTGGGAAGTCTGCACGTCTCCTGGGACCCTGTTCGCTCTCTTCATCCAGCAGCTAGAAAAGAAAAAACAAAAACCTGATTTTAAAGATATTTCAATGTAAAGTGGGTGAAGTTTTCCTGAAAGTGGCCTCTGCATGAACCATGAAGACATGACGCGACAGAGACGACATCTCATTAACACAAACATCCTTCGGCAGCTGATCCTGCGGTCTTTACTGCTCCTGATGTTAATCATATTTACGGTTGATAATTTAATGTTCTCTGTATGAATCTGTCTGTTTAAAGTGAGAATGTAGCTGTTTGCTATGACCGTGTATAAATCATTAGCTTTAACTGTTTCACTCGCTGGAAAAAAAGCTAAAGACGGCTGAACTTCAGGAATCTGAATGGGCTAAGAGTAAAGAAAAGTGTCAGCTATCCACGCTGCAGAGTTATAGAGTATTTTAATCAAATCAAATAAATAAAACAAAAAGAAATGTTGGCACATTCCAGGAAATACAGTGTTGTAGTTTGCTCTTTTCTGAACCTGTTTTCTCTCAATTGGTTGAGTGGCTTCCAGCATAGTAGGTTTGTAAACTCAAGAAAACATGAGTGGGAAGGCATGTCGTGCCTTTGTACTAAATACACAGCTAACGACAGATCTGCACAATACAAGCTGTGGCTGCATTGCATTCTGGTCTGTTTACCCTTCTGCCTTGGGTTTCTCACATCAGCGAAGGAAGTGATTTTTTTTTTCTTTTCTTTCAGCCTCTAGTGTGTGCAGAAAGCCACTGGTCCATGTCTAAAATATGCAGACACATAAGACCTTATGGTTTACCCTAAAGATCCTGAAATGCATAACATATCACCAAAGTAGGTTTATAACAAAGGTAAAGTGCTTGATTGAGACACTACTCCAGCTCCAGCAGAGCTGACGGTGAAAACTGAGGTTTAGCCAGGCGGCGCAGGCGAAACCCGAATGAGCTGAGATAGATGAGTGCTGATGATCTCCAGGCAGTTTTTCCTCAGACTGACTACTGTAAGAAGAGGGAGAGAGAGAGACGGCACGCTGGGCGACTGTTTCCAGGTCAGTGGATCGGTAAAAATGCAAAATATACAGTTAGCTCTGCACCATTTGGCAGCAAGTGACAGACTTCTGTGGCTGAACAAGAGCAGCTCTGAGTGCTGATCAGGGTGAGAGGAGAGAGGCTTCTTTTGAAAAGCAGTATTTTTTAGATCCTATCCAACATTAATATTTTGTGCATTGTTTCTCTCAGGTAGGGGGAAGACTAGTACCCATTTTCACAAAAATAAATACAAGCTTTTTTTAAGGCGTAAATAACTGGTTAGTATCCAGCCAGAAACCATGAGATTAGGTGAAAATCTATTGTGTATGTTCAATGTGGGAAACTGACGACGTAGTTGGAAACTGCTGTGGAACCGCTGCGAACAACTACTTTCAACAGAAAGTAAACCCTGCTGGAAAAGTTGGCAAAATGTCGTTAGATGATGTTTTAGGCTAATTAGCATATTCATAACATTTTGTGTATATTTTGTTGTGTTCTGTTGAAATAGTGACTGAAATGCAGCCCATTAAGACTCCATGTTAACCATCGGTCCCTTCCAAGCTGCTGCTGCTGCTGCTGCTGCTGCTAAAATCCTGATTTCATAACCACGACATCGTCTGAGGAAATCACCGAACACTGTGCTGTAATTTTGGCTGCAGAAATGGGGGAAGGTTTTATTTCACAGATTGTTTCATCTGTAGAAGCTTGAGTACAACAATTCGACAGACAGACAGACAGACACACACACCGTCTTAATCCGAGTCAGACTCTAATCTCACATCTGGCTGTGGCATGCTCCACTGAAGCCTGAGACTCCTGGCAAACGCTCCCCACAACGATTCAGGCTTATTCCAAGTTTATCTTATTTTTGTTGTAAACAATCAGTTATTACCTAAACTATTTGCTGCAAACATCCAGCACAGTTTACTTCCTGGTTCAACTGTGAACAAGCCGCCAAACTGTCGGCTTCGATCTGTCTGATCGTCTGGTTGCTTGCGTGTCTGTTTTGTACCAATGTCACCGTGTTTGCAGATGTCAGCACTTACTGGGTTAGTTGTTAGTGGTAGAGATGATGGACAAAATTATGAATTTAACAATTTGTAATAGACTGTTGGACATAATCCATGAAAAGGAAGATATCCAAAATCTCTGGATTAGATTTAAATTATGAGAAACGACAAACTGAAATCAGTTTTAATAGTCTGCAACAAGCTTCATTGTGATATAAAAAGTTTGCTGTTGTAAATTTTTCTGTTATGTAAGTATGTGTACTGTCATGTAGTGTTTTGTGTGTGTGTGTATGTGTTTGTGGGTGTGTGTTGCCTGCAGCCAAACTCAGATGTCTAGTTGACAAGGTCATGTTGTCAGAGTCCCTTCCATATAAATCTTAGTCATTAATACAAACACACACTCGTGCTCTGTCTGAGTCCCTGCCCTGGGCCGTGATCTTTTTGTAAAACAAACCTTTGCTCTTCGGAGTGATGCTGCTGTCTCCCACCTGCTGATTCACTCGTTGCCACGGCAACAGCTCTGTCTCCGCCTGGTAGGCTGCCCATAGATGGGGAGTGAGTCATGCAGTGGGTGGACAGAGGAGGAAGACTTGATCTAATTTTGGATGACACGTCGTCGTCGTCGTCGTCGTCACAGGAGTTTCCAGTTCTGTTTCCATCTGTTAAAATCTTCACATTTACCATCTCTGTGTCTCTCCGTCTCTTATCCGGGGCTGGAAATCAAACCTCAACACTCTTCTGGTGCCGACCGAGCCAGATACGGAAAGGCTGGCATCAGATGTTGGTTAGATTTGTAACCTTGTTTGCTTTAGAAATTAAAGATTTGAACACAATATTGACATATTATGGAAAATCATTGCTTATTGGCACAGCCAGCAGTGATGTATTACTCATTCATTTGTGTTGAGTTGTGTCCAATCTTCACTCTCTTTTAGCTGCGTTTGGTCTTTACCAACAGCTGAACGATGAGCTGAAACTCACCGTAAAGCTGCAGCTTCAGGCCATAAATCTCTGTAGCTCATCACTTACATTGTTGCATTGTAGTTTCACATTGTCACTTGATAGATTATTTAAAAATGCTGATCATATCCGCATTAAATAGAGTCTATAATTCTTAAAGTCATGGAAAAGGTTTTGACTTTGTGTTACTGAAAGTCATATATCGTATCATATATGAAACCCAGGCCCAGTCCGTCTCTGCTTCTCTTCACACACCCTCATCACATTAAAGAAATCACTTCTAAAGGCTTCTCTTAAGTTTGGGACGAGAGAAAGTTTCGTCAACTCGAAGCAGCTAAAATGAGCAGTTTAATGTGCGTTTTGTGGGAGACGATTGTTGTTTTGATCTTTTTTACCGTTCAGCGGCTCCGTGCAGGTGACGGTTGTAAATCACTCACACGAGAATATTTCAAATACAGTTTCTCCTCACTGCTGGAATAAAAATCTACAGTCAGTTACTTTAATCACGAGAGGGTCACTGTCCTCTCTGGCTGAGAGTCTGCTGCACCTCCGCCTGGGCGTGGTCGGGCGTGGTCGGGCGTGGTCGGGCGTGGTTGGGCGTGGTCAGACGTGCCTCTCGGTTGCACCTGTGACCGCGCTCCACAGAGACGTCACCGTGCACTGACCACAACCTGTAGTGCTACATCACAGCCACAGGGTGCAAAGTTAAACCAGTGAAGGTCAACTGGTGCTAAGTTGCTCTTTAAATACAGTGATTCAGTGATTCCAACCCTTTCATTAGTTCTGCTCCTCAGCCACTGTGTTTACCTGGGAAACATCTTGCTTATCTGTTTTCATTTTAAAGAAAATAAGGAGGGAGATGAAGTGATCCTGTTCTGTAGTGCACTTACTTTTTTCCAATGAAACAAGCAACAATGGGAAGTTAAAAGCTGTAGTTTGGGTGAACTGACCCTTTAAATAGAAATTTGAAAGAAGTAAAAAGGGCATTTGAGGAGTTTCAGGGTTTCTAGAAAAGGCTCTGTCCTATCTATTAACAACTCCCCCAAAACAGCCTAAAGAGACTCCCACTGTGTGTGTGTGTGTGTGTGTGTGTGTGTGTGTGTGTGTGTGTGTGTGTGTGTGTGTGTGTTCCCAGTAGCTTGGGTAAAAGGTCTGGTTCCCTTTAAATGCACATCACGGAGCACAGACAAAAGAATCCCTGCTCATTCATCAGAATAAAAGCTTTGTGTGTGTGTGTGTGTGTGTGTGTGTGTGTGTGTGTGTCTGTGTGTGTGTGTCTGTGTGTGTGAGTGTGTGTGTCTGTGTGTGTGAGTGTGAGGGAGAGAGAGAGAGAGAGAGAGAGACAAAAAACTTGTGTACATTGAGCGTCAGGATCCAGAACTCAGTGACCAAACCTCCCTCTCTCTCTCTTCCCGTCTCTTTTTCTCTCTGCTCACTCCATCTGTTTTTCTTTCTCACCACTTCCTTCTTCTTCTCTTCTTCTTTTCTGCATTTCCACAGGACACACTAAACAACAACTCCTTTGGGAAGAAATACAGTTGGCAGGAGAAAGTTTCAGGTTCGTCCTCGCCTCTTAAAACAGGTGAGCTTTTTTCTCTCTTTCCCATCACAAAACAAAGCTCATATTTCAGTTGAATTATCTGCTTTCTTTTTGTCTCATGGTGACACCTGCGATGTGCAGACGATCAATGTTGTTGCCGACATTATTCATCCTCGGTGCCACAAACAGCAGCAGCTGAACGTGTGTGTGATTTGCATTGAGTCTGGCAGGTCGTGTTCCTCTCTGATCCTCAGGAGACAGTGTTAAGGCTTGGATTAGCAATGCTGGACTAAGTCTAACTAGTTGAGGCAGTAGTATATACTCTGTGTGTGTATGTGTGTGTGTGTGTTAGCCGGCTCAGGGCTTAGCTAGCCAGGAGCTGTCGTAGCTCGTTGCTACAGCTCTTTTCACAGCACAATGTGAAGTGACTAACCAAAGTCACTGCCAACAACCCCCCACTGTTGGAATAAGTCACATATTAATTATTATCTCAATCATTTTAAAAGACAGCTTGGAAAAAAACCTCCAAACATTAGGATGAATGAACTTGCCTTTTGTGCTTGGATGCAGAATGGAAGCATTCACACATTAATCCCAGGCAGTTACCTCATTGCTGGCCTTGTATTCACACCACACAGACTGACATCAAGCCAAATGCTAAACCAAAACTAGGTGTTTTTTTTATGTTTTTTTCTTTTACTGTGTTGTGAGGTTTCCCCCCCTTTGGCAACAAAACGTATGATTAGAATTCATTTTGGATTTTAATTCAATGGTTAAACACAACATAAAGATCCTTGTGAACAAACCTTAACAGAGCATCATTAAGGTAATCTCATTATATCCATCCTCACGAGGTCGTATAATTATTATTCAACATTCACAGATTGCTTCAAACCGCAGTGTATTTATCCTGGTCCAGGTTAATGACGTTTCCATTCTACAACGTGGACATTTTATAATCCAGTATAGATACCTACAGAACATTTATAGAGGGGGGGGGCTCCTTATTTGGACTTTGGTCCCGTTTAGAAGAACCTGCAGATTTGTTCATGAACACAACTGGTGCCATTCATATGCAAACTAGCAGATGACATCATATGGCCTCACAAACACTTGAGACTCATTTTAAGTCAGGGAGAAGTTGCTTTAAGGAGCGATCTACTACATTCTGTTGAAAGTTGAAAAGCAGATCCAGATGAGCCCACGAGGATTTTATTTTATTTTTTTTAATATGATGATTGTTGTGAAACAGATTTACGTCAATCGTAATCTGTGATGCTGCAACGCTAAGTGACAATTTCACAAAAATGCAGTCTGTGTTCCTGCTCGGCTCCTTAAATGCTGAAGTGTGAACAAACATTCAGGACTCACCTGACGTTTGCCGTCCTGCAGCTTCAGACGTCAACGCTGCATCATCATCCACTGTGACAATATCATGCCTGGATTTTCCTGGCGATGGATTATGACATAACACATCAATCACCTTCCCTTGGCTGCACTGAATTTGATGAGTAATGGGGATTTAGCTGCATAATCCCGACATCCGTTACCTAACCATTTCTACTTTTCTCTCTTCTCTTGTTTGTGCATTACTTTATCTGTCTGTGCATTCGCTGCCATGTCTGCCTTCACGTCCGTCTGTGCGTTTGCTTTTTGGTCATGTTTGCGTTTCTGCATCATGTATGTTTACTCTGTGTGTTTGTCTGGCCTTTGTGCGTGCTTGTGCGTTTGCTTGTGCTTTTGTGCGGCTGTGTGCATGTTGTTGTTCGCGTCTTCTCTTCCTCCAGGAGAGCTCACCCCTCCACGTGAGCACAGCTGCCTGAGCGACGAGGACAAGGTGCAGGGTGGGGGAGCACAGACCAAAGACCGCGGGACCTCCACCGACGCCCCCTGCAGACACGGCCACACCTCTGGACACTCGCACAGCTCGTCCACAGCAGCTGTGACGCGCTCCAAGCTTCAGGAGAAGCCACCGGCACCCCCTCCACCTCAGAACTACACACCAGCTCCTCTATATCCGGCGGGGAAGGCAGATGGAGGTGGGCACCACCGGGAGAGGATCCGCTACCACACGGACGTTCGTCTAGAGCCCACGGAGGAGATCTACCTGACTCCTGTGCAGCGCTCCGCTGACGCCCTAGAACCCTCCAACGTGCAGGAGCGGCCTTTTCTCTCACAGCAGACTGAGCAGGGCCGCATGTCCATCAGCTCTGACACTGAGGGCCCGCCTCCTTACCAGCCCCTCCCAGATCGGACAAACCCCTCCATCTATGAGGAGGACGAGGTCTACATCCCCCCTCCATCATATGCTTCCTGCGTAGAGTCCCTCATCACACCGCCCAGCATGGCCGTCTCCGCTCGATCCTCCCTCGCACTGGACCTCAGCCTGAAGGGGGCAGGAACGGGGGCCGGGGTTATGCTGCGAGCTGGGTCATCGGTGGAGTACGTGGACGCCACGGATGAAAGCTACTGTGGAGAGGATGAGGATGTGGACAGGATAATAATGGATGGAAGGATGAGGAAGGGGGGAGGAAAGGGCGACGGCGGCGGCATCAGAGCGGCCCCGCTAAGGACTTCCATGAGCTCGGAGGCCAGCGGCCTTTCATATGACTCAGTCAAATACACGCTGGTGGTGGATGAGCACTCTCAGCTGGAACTGGTCAGTCTCCGGCAGTGTTACCAAGGCTACAGCGACGACAGCGACTCGGCCACGGTCTACGACAACTGCGTCTCCTCTCCCTATGAGTCGGCCATCGGGGAGGAGTATGAGGAGGAAGATGAGGAGGATGAGGACGGAGCTCAGATAGGAGGAGTGAGGAGAGAGGCCACGGCTTGTCTGTCCGAGGACTCCACTCCGGAGGCAGACCTGCACTTCTCCAAGAAGTTCCTCAACGTCTTCATGAACGGACGCTCGCGCTCCTCCAGTAAGTCACTGTCATGGTAACGCAGAGTTTCCCTCAGCAGAGTTCCCTCTTCTGACAGGCAGTGTTCCCTGTACCCATCCAACAAGAAGGGTAGACTTAAATGGGATGTTCCCAAAGTCCAAACTGTCACATGTTACACGTTCAGGGTGATGAATTACTATCATCATGTGTTGACTTCTACTGGGATCATAGGGTTTTTCTTTTATTTAAGTGAAACCATTAAAAAGCATTAAATATAATAATTCATATCTAATCTGTCATGTGTTTACCCAGATGTGACAGAGTAACAATAACGAACAAATATTTGTATTAAATAGCCATATCTGTCAGAGATATCACCCACGTATAGATACCTTTTCTTTTGTCAGGGAGAATTCAGATAAGGGAACAAATATTAATATATTTATGATTTATGCCATTTGATCATTTTTGTTTTTTTACCCATAATTATAAAACTAAAAAAAATAAAAGATACAGAAAGAAGGAGAGAGAGAAAAACATGAATCCAAATGTTGGCAGAGTCAAGAGAACAATGAATCGTGTAAGTGATGAAGTGAGAATGGGAAGCGTTTGGGTTTGTTTTTTTGTTGTTGTGCAACTACAAGGACGTACTGCACGCAAAGACATGCAAACGAATACACTCACTCTGTTTTGTATATGCAGTGGCCTCATTGTGCTTCCCTTTTGGCCGTTTGCTAGACAGAGCGATCTCTCATTTCACCCTCCCACCCTGCTCTGTGTCTGAAACTTCTTATTTCATTTTTTAAGAATAATATATGAATCCAAAACTTTAGATTCCAAAACAGCCGGCGAGCACATCAGCACTGCAAGCTGTTGGCCCTTGTAATTCCCTTTTAAACATACAGTAACGCAGCGGTGAATGCTGTCTAGCCGAATTGGCAGCGCGGTGGAAAAGGCTTAAAGTGATGTGGCTGATAAAGCCACAGAGATATTCAGGAGCTGGAACACTCTCGTGCAGCACAGATCATTATCCACATGACTGGTTCAACTCTGGACATTGTGACCTCCTATAGGTCAACAGCAGTGAGTCAGATTTAATGTAAAGGTTTGATTATGGCTGAACGTTCCCCAGGTGGAACTGAGCAATAATGTACTGTTATTTGAAATGTTTCTGTTTATCATTACCAGAGGTGCAAAGATGAACATTAGTTTGTTTCACCGTGTGATTTACGTGTTAGTTGTGCTAATTTAGGCCGTGTCACCCGGCTCGGCTTGTAAGTCTTTTAAATGGAAGCTGCAGTCTTTTGCTGCTTTGTTCAAATTTGTTATCAGGGAACCGACAGCAGCACGTTCAGGGCAGAAACCCAGCTGGACATTTAAATGGCCTGCTGGGTGGAGGGACACTGAGCCAAAAAAAACAGTTTGCACTTTCATGGATTTGCCTCCAGTCCCTTTCTTCTCCTCTGCTGTCCCAACCAATCACATCCACAGACAGGTCTTGAGCCTCTTTCAAGGCATTAAAACAATGGTAGAACTAGAGAGGGCGTTTGGAAGTACTGAGGGGAGAAAAAGAAGCAATGACACAGGCTGTATGAATTATATTTTTCACCGTTGTTATTCAGGCGAATCTGCTAAATGTTTCGACTCCATCATTTGTATTTTGGTGGCTTCAAGTTATAATCCTGAAGGTTTTCAGACCTTGTTTTTTTTTGGACGGTTTTGTTGACTGTCTTCTTTAGAGAAAGAAGCTGTGTAGGTAAGAACATGAAATACAATCCAAGAAGTCCGGAGATAGTGAGGCCTAAACACTACAAAGAGACAACATTTTTAAATTCTGGAAAGTTATCATCGCAAATATGTGTCCTCTGTCTAGATGATTGTCGGGGAATCGGCAGAAATATCTAATTCAGTCTGAGAGCTTTGCAAGTACGGGGCTAAAAATGTTAAGTGCACAAAAATGGAAAATGTTCATCTATGAATCCTCTCAGTGGATTTCACTAAAATCCGTCTGATAATCTTTGAGAGATGTGAAGAGTTTGGACTAAATTGTGTGTTAGAGGAAAAATCAGTGAGTCAGCATAATAAGAGAGCAACTGGAGACTTTGCCTGACCCGTCGCTGGTGTCCATGAGCTCACAGCAAGAGCTTCTGTCAGTTTCCAGCTTCTGGTTTTGCCGCTCTCCCAGTGGAAAAGAAAAGTCGCCTTTAAGGGGAAAACAATAGGAAAAGCATCAACAAGTCACACACTGACCCACGACCTCGGCGCGCATGTGTGCGTAAAGCGACGAGCAGTGATGGGCAGAAGGGAGGAACCACGTGAAGGAGGCTGAGAACGAGAGAATGTATGCGTGCGGTCATTTCCCTCTAACGGTCCTGCTGGCCTCCTGGACGCCCGCCATGTTTTACAGGCTCATTAGAAACAGCAGTGCAGTTTATCTGAGTAGTGCAGGAGGGGATAACCGATGTCTCAGGGGGAATGTGGGCAGAAATACACAATGCTCATCTGTTTCACGCCTACTTAAAGCGTGATTCACAGGTCCTAATGTGCGCTTTAAAATAAACACCATGTGCCCTAATTGGGTTTTCTATTCGTCAATGACGGACTATGGTTTCAGTTTTGCATTGATGTGATTATTCTTTTTGCCAGCCTGTTGCAGAGGCTCACACTTATTTCATTTTCTCTCATGTCGTCAAGGCGCAGAGTCCTTTGGCTTATTCTCATGTGTCATTAACGGGGAAGAGAAGGACCAGAGCCACAGAGCCGTCTACAGGTGAGGAAGAACTACACCATCATCATCCTCACCAACACTAACACTCACATCATCATCATCATCATCATCATCCCTACACGCAGAGTATATATTGCACCATGACTTAAAACACGTGTGATATCATCAGCCATCATTATTATTGAATGTGATTATATTTTTGCTCAACAATAGCGACAAGCATTTTGGCAAATAGCATGTTGCTCAATCATCTTATATTCTTGCTTTTAAACAAAGTCAACAAGATTGTAGATCCTGTGATTCTTCTTCAGGCTTTTATATGTTTCATCAGACAGGTTGTAAACAAACAAACAGTTCAGCCATATTGTCTAAACATGGCTACTTAGACTATGAACTACCAAACCGAAATGCCACTTAAATTCCAGATATGTAGTTCAGATAATTTGCTTCTGGCCTGAATACTCGTTCTCGTTTCTCAGAATTGAATTCAACCACCATTAAACCAACCTTTTCCCTTTGGCTACTGCCTTAAAGGAGTTTCAACACTTAACACAAGCAACTGTTTGTTTTTCCCGCTCAAAACCACCACAAGTTCTTTCTCTTTCCTTTTCTCTTGTATGCACATGTAGCAGCTTTCAGATTATGGTTTTACACATAGCGCTGGTTTTTTATCTTCCAATCTACCAGAGATACTGGCTCTGCTTTACAGACATTTAATGGGGAAATGTGGTTGAGAAAAGTTTTATTTCAGTGTGTTATTAGTGATAAATCAGTAGGAATTTAAGAATCGGTTTTCCAGGTTTCCGGAAACCCATTTCCATGTCTGATCAGCCCCGACCACTAATGTGGAAATGTGTCCCAGATCTTAGAAATTAAGTCGGTTAGTAAACTTTATGTGTGGCTGTTGGAGCAGAAAACACAAATTTTCTGCTTGTTTCCTCAGTAATAGTCTCACTCCAGTTATAGCTGTTGTTGAAGACCTCATGCTGATAAATGCAGAAAGAACAGCAGTGCAGTCATGTGAACAGCAGCATCTCTGTGCACAAACAGATCATGTGATGATGCAGGACATTATTCATGCATAGCTGAAAGCAGGAGGCTTGTTACAGTGTCCCTTCGAAAATGGGTTTCTAGTTTGTATGTATATAATATTTAACTCTACATTTGTGTAGTGTCTCTACAGCCATTAGCATTACATCTGATTACATCACGCTCGTTAGCTTGACTATATCATTGTTTCAGCTTTGTATTGTTTCAGATTAAGGTTTATTTTCTATTAAAAGCTGACGCTGGAAACCTGTGTTGTCAGTGTTTAACCTATGTTTTCAGTATAGGCTTAAAGGAGTTAGCAGCTGTAGTCAGCTTGGATTCACAAATGCCATTTATCATTTGCGACGAATGTAAGCAGCTTCAGTAAGCTGCGTGCTACACAGGTAAACTGCTAAATGTGACATAAGTATATCCTAAGACACAAATGCAAATGGACAGAGGAGAAAGAGGAGAAGGAGTTTGTGTGCAGCTTTATTTCACCATGAAACAGGACTGCCATTGGAATCTGTTGTAACTTTGTGAATCAAAGCTAAATTGAGCTGTGTGCTCTGTGAAGAAGCAGGCTACACATTTCTCTCATTGACAGTGGGTGAATGTTTGACACTCAAAACACAGGTTTCAGAGACGTATTCCTTTAAAAATACCTTAGATCCCTTACATTAACCTCATCCGTCTCGACAGGTTTGTCCCTCGACATGACGATGAGTTGGAGCTGGAGGTGGACGACCCGTTGCTGGTGGAGGTCCAGGCGGAGGATTACTGGTACGAGGGCTACAACATGCGAACTGGTGCCCGTGGGATCTTCCCGGCTTACTACGCTATAGAAGTGACCAAAGACACCGAGAGCTACAAAGGTACTGACGCTGTTAGGAAGGATGCTGAAATGCCCACCTTTTCTTTCACCGGTGTTTTCTAACAAGCTGAAACGTGACGTTTTCTCTTCATATTCTGAGATAAATGAGAATCTGCTGCTGTAGTGGCAGGTAAAATTGACAAACTTAATTTCAACAGAGATGACATAAGTGCTTTGTTAGCACAACAGTGTAGCTGAATGCTAACAAACATAATCCTCTATATCATCACAGGCTTCTCATTTATCTGAGAACTTGGATAGAAAAATTCAAATATGATGGTTGAATGTTTAAAATAAGCTGGTGGAACTGCAGAAGGACTCAGCCACACAAAAAGTAAAGAAATCAGCACAAATACACTGACTCATAACAGATCCAGTGGAAAAATGGTATTGGAAAAAGGTTTTTTTTTTTTTTTTTTTTACCTTCACACACAAGTTGAGTGATGCTTCTTCTGAGTCACGTCATGCCCGTGTAGCTGAGAGTGATCTAAATTTAGAAGCTATTTATATTCAGAATATTCTTTTTGAGAAGAAAAATGACAGAACGAGTGCAGGACAGAATATTTTGGCTGTTCCGCCTGTGAGGGCTCACGTAAGGACAGAGCTGTGATCTGCCGGGTTAACCACCACCCTCTATGTTATCTTATGTTATGTTTATTATTTTGTAGGTATTGGCTTTTATTCTATAATTTTGTTTCTGTCCTGTGCAGTGAAGAGCAGCGAATGGATGGACAGATACCGGCTAAAGTTCCTGGGCTCGGTCCAAGTGCCCTACCACAAAGGAAACGACGTTCTGTGCGCCGCTATGCAGAAGGTACAAGGCCCATGTTGTGCACGTTTGTGCGTGTAAAGCAACTGACTGTTATAGTGGAGCAACATTAAGGAGGGGTAAACTAACACCTAAGCTTTTGTCCCAGAAAACCTTGGTAGAAGACATGTGACGTGACGCATCTTTCATGTTATCATCATCCAGCACAGAACTGCATTACAGAATTCCCTCTGTAAGAGTTTTGAGCTTTTTATATTTTGGGAGTCATCCTATTAAACATTTGTTTTCCAGATTGCCACCAACAGAAGGATGACAGTCAAGTACAACCCGCCTTCCTCCTGCATCCTGGAGATCAGTGTGAAAGGCATCAAGCTTGCAGTTCAAGAGGATTATTATGCTTGTGACAGAGTAAGACACTTTCTATCCCTTTGTCTATCTAATACAAATTAAGCGAAGTGCAGCTTCATGAGGTTTTTTCATATACAAGCTCATCGTCACACCAGAAACCCTTTGAACAGTTGGGACATGCTGCCCCCGTGTGGCTGCTAATGGCCACTGCAGACACAGATGCTAGGAGACGTCAGGGAAGTGTTTTCTAGGTTTCTGGGTTTCTTTTCTCTACTACATTGATTTGACAGCTGTATTCATAATAATAATAAACTACTGTATTTGTTTAGCACCTTTGATACAAGAGATGAAATCAAAGTGCTTCACATAAAATCTGCAATTTAGATTTTAAACATCAGACCATCTTTCCTTATATGTTGCAGAGATATTACACTTATAGAGATATTACACTGTAAGCTGTTTTGAAAATTTAAAAGGAAATTACTCTTTTTTTCTAGTAAGTTGGTTTTGTAGATAATATGATGCATCGCTATTAATCACTTTACCAAAATAGTCATACAGTAGTTTTACGTACCACTGCCTGGGCAAGCTACAACATTAAAATGTTGTAATGTATTAGTAATGATAATCTTTAATATATAGTGAGTGTGTTTTCTTGTGATACTTTTGTACATTGTGCTGCCAGTAATTTCATATTTTTAATTTAAGAAACATTGTGAATGCAGGACTTTCTCCTGTAATAATCGTTTAGTAGTCATACAGCACTCAGAACATTGTTGCTAGAATTTCCCTCCCTTCCCCGTCTCTTAGAGTAAAACTGTCACTTGTGGTCGCTGTATAGCAAACAGCCTAAATCAGTTCAATCCATTTATTCTGCCCCTGTTTTCTGTGTCCTTCTCACAGAGTAATGAGTGCAGTCACTTCTTCCAGTTAAAGAACGTCTCCTTCTGCGGCTATCACCCCAAAAACAGCAAGTAAGTACAGATAGAAAGCATGAAGCACTGCTTCCAGTCGGGGATTACCAAGTCCAAAACAAACCAAAAGATAATTATAGGCTGGACGATTAATCAGCAATTGGTTTTTTGTTTCTGTCTGACTACAACAAAGAAATATGGTGAAAACGTTTGATGTTCTTGCATTTTGCTAGTTTTCATCTGCAGACACCAAACAATTATTTACCACAAGGCGTCACTTGAAATCAACAAATACCAGACTTCAGACATAGACCTGACCTCTTCACTGACTGAGGAAACATGAAACAGCAGTTAATCATAAATACGTGACACAGTGAATTTAGCATGACCAAACTGAATTCCCTCTATGTGTTGCCTTATCTGTTTCCTCTCTGTCTTCTCTGCAGGTATTTCGGCTTCATTACAAAACACCCAGCGGACCAGAGATTTGCCTGCCACGTGTTTGTGTCTGAAAACTCCACTAAACCTCTCGCAGAGTCAGTGGGGTGAGTCGGCCTGTCTGTGTATCGGCTCTTAAATATTCATTCTTTGCAGTGAGGAGGTTTGTGCATTTACTGACACAAATGGATGGATACTCCGCCAATCAGGGCATCGCTTTAACGGGATTAGAAAGAGCTGATTTCAGCATCTCTTAACAGACCATGATGAATTAGAAGACGCTAGGGTGTTTGCTTTTGAGTGAAGTGATGAAATGACGCGTTGCATGTTCTTGTTTGTTTTTTTCAGGAAAGCCTTCCAGTTGTACTATAAAGAGTTTGTGGAGTTCTCGTGCCCTACAGAGGACATCTACCTGGAATAGCACTGCCCTGCCTTCAGCCACAGCACTGTACAGTACACTGTATCATAACATAACGTTGCATGAAGGACAGACATATCTAAAAATTTAAGTAAATAAATAAAAACATAACACATCTGACAACCGAGCGGGAAAAGAAGGATGGAGTATCGGAACGTGTGGTGAAACCTTTGTGCAACGAGAAGAGGAGGATACGTGCCAAAGGCCATGTGTACTGAGAAAAGAAAATATGCAAAATGGAGTCGGTGATGAGTAAGTGATCACGGGCTGTCCATGGAAAGCACAAATCACCACGGCCTTGGCAGCGCTAGTTAGCCTGTAGCATCGTCTCAGCAGGTGCCAGCACTGAGTACTTGACAAAAGTAAAACAGCGGCTGAGACGTGGACAAATGAACATGTGATGAATTTGCTTGGACTTCAAACATTCACAGTCTGAACATGATGGACGTGTGTATTTACTAAATGACATCCTCACACTGAAAATGTACTCTAAGTGAAACAAAAGTTCATGTAGGAACGGTGAATTGTATCCTTTTAGCACGCCTAATATAAAGGGGATTCACATGGTTCGAAGCCCACCCTGTAGCACTGTTAGAAAACCGGCTGTGGGTTGATGTTCTTTGCATTTTTGGGTCCTTTCAGATCTTTGTGCCTGACCTTGTTGTCAAATCCTCACATTGTTTCATCAGCTGGTTGACAGCAGAAAATGTCATAGTCACCTGGAAGAGCAGGTCTGCGGTATGAGCTGTGCAGAGGCACAAGCGCAGCAAAGGTTCACGTCTCTATCTCCAGTGTCAGGAAGAAAAACAAAAACTAGCCTAGCAAAGACCATGTATTTCAGTTTAACACAAAGGTTGGTAAGGGCTTAATTAGAGCTGAAACAATTAGTCAAATAATTGACTAGGTGATCAACAGAAGCTGAGAGATGTTCTGCCGTGGACAGGCTCAGCAGAAAAAATGTGTCACAGCCACCGAAAAAAGCCAATGACAGTTGACATGTGCACTTTATTTTGAATATTTTTGCCAGTTTACTCAACCATTGGATTACCGTATTACTGCGGACACTATTACAGCACAGATCAGGTGTCTGAGTCAGGAACAGCTGAGTGTTAGTGCACTTGTGTGTAGGGATACGTGAGGTCAATGGTTGAGAAAATATAGTGCAAGAGGAAAGACTCTTCTTCTCTTCTCCAAATGGAGCGCACCGCCTCACAACCCCACGTCAAATAACCCGAACTACCACTTTAAGTGCAGTGGCAGGGTGTGACGTCGTCAGCGCCACAGTTTTCAAGCCAGTGCATCTGTTGTTTTCCTGTGGGATAGAGGGAATTCTGGGAAGTGTAGGTAATCGGTAATTCACATAGGACTGAGACATTCCAACAGTGAATCACAAAGAACTCCTGAAATGCACTGAACATCATTTTTCCATGCTTTAAAAAAAAAAAAAAAAAGTGTGAGGGTGTAAGAGTGTGGATTTTTTCCTTTCAAAACTTTTTAGCGGCTTCTATCGGTACTGTAGTCCCAAGCTAAACAGACGCCTCCATCATTTGCCCAGTCAGGCTTCAGCCCTAATTCCTAGTCTAACGCCAGAAACACTGCGCTTCTTTACTGTGTGTTCTAACACGGTATGAAATCAGTGACGAAGATGTTTAATAACGGGGGGGGGGCATCCAGGCTCTGTGACGGTAGAGGATGTGGGCCGACATGCAGAATATCCTTCGTGTGGTGTTCTAGAAACTCTGCTCCTCCTAGTTTCCACATCAGAAATGTTAAATGCTCTCAGTGCGGCAGTGACAAGATAATAAGGCTGATCCTCAGAAAACAGCAGGTACAGGTGCTGACAAGGGAGCAAAAGCAAAACTCTGGTGTCTTCAGATCTTCACTAGTAGTGCCTCTTTCTCATCAGATCATTGTGACCTTCCTCAGTGAACATTATCACAACATTTTAAGGGATTGCCATTGAGTGCGTGTTGAGTTTAAGAGTTTGAATGCAGATTTGAGACGTAGGAGTATGTTTGATGTAAGTTGTGCTTTCTTTTTTTTTTCCATTGCAGTACGTGTGGTGTGCTGTACCTGTGCTGTTTAAGGCCTGTTTTTTCCTGCCATGTTTGTTTCAGAACATGCAGAGCACAGTGAAACTTCTTCCCTGTCCCAAGAGTAAGAAGTTAAAAAGATTCAGTCCAAGAACACTCTCTAATCAACGGGATACAAGTATGCAGGAGGTAAAAATTCACGTATTATATATATTATATATGTATATATAATATATCCAATTCCATTCCGTTAATACGCATCTAGTTCTCTTAAAAAGTCCACGATATTCATATTCAGGAATGTGGACAATACATTTAGAAAATTACGCATGTTTAATAAGCTCGCTATCTTAGCTGCCAGCTAACAGTTACCAAACCAGCTTCGCTATTTAGACAGTAGAGCTGTAAGCATGAGGCTTGGGAGTCAAGTCTGACTGAAGACTTGAAACCAGAAGCATTCAAGTCCCAATTTCTGACCTACTGAAATTTGGGAAGGATTAAAAAAAAAGACAGAGGCAAACAAGCTGTGCACAGACACACACAATGAATATTTATTCAGCCCAGGCCTCGGAAGGACTCGGCGCCAGCGATGTAAAATGCTATTAGCACAGCTTTGACTGGAAAATGTTAAAATATCATCAAAAGACATTATGATATTTCGTTGGTCAGCACTGCAGCTTGACTTACAGTTTGCTTCTAAAGACTTGTTACGTGACCGGAGACGTGAGTAGAGCTGAGATGGTCAGTCGTTTCATTGATTAGTCGATCGACTGATGCTTGTGTTCACTTCAGATGAAGCACTGACTTCATCAGGAGTGAACAGTTTTACCTCTTGTGATGAATTGTGATATAATATAATGACCTTGATGTGACCAGTCATCACAGATGTTGCATCAAATTCATCCAAATTCATCACTCGTGGTTCATTAAGTCATTGAGACATGTTCTGAACGAGGCCCCGCGTGATCGTAGCAGAAAACCAAAGGATTTCCGTATGATTTTGCATCATCCCGGGTCCAGCGCGGGTACAGCACAGATGTTCTGCAGTGAAAAACAAAGTGTGCTTCCTACATCATTTATCACTAACACTGATTTGTAACAGATTATTTTATGTGATCCATATTAACAAAAGATAAAATGTCTGTATAAGAAAGATTAATTAATGGAGGATGTGGAAATTGTCAGTTCCAGTCATCTCACCAGTCCCCACTGTTTGTCCCTTTCAAAAACAAAAACAAAAAAAAAACAACAAAAAAAAAATCTTGAAACAAAACAAAAGAGTTGTCTGCTGTTGCTAATCGAAGCCATCGCATTCGCATCAAGATATCAACACTGACTTTTATATGAGTTTCCTTTCTCGAGAGCCAATCAGGTGGACGAGAGAAAATGTATGGGGGCTAAACAAAGGGTGTACAGACATGCCATATATAAATAAATAATTTAATATCTGTAATTATAAATATGACATTGTATTGATTCAACATGTAGTATGTGAAATTTCTCTTTATTTTGGAATTTTTTTAGGTGTGAATTATTCTTTATTTAAAAATTTTAATGCAGATGTCAGAGTGTCCTGTCATTATTTTGTCGGTATAAAAGTATGAGCGAGCGAGCGAGCAGGTGTGTGAAGTTAAAGTCGCTTCACAGCAGGGTGAAGGTTCTGGGTTAAAAACTTGGGGTCTGTCTGTGTGGAGATTGATGTGCGTTTCCTCTGGGAACTCCAGCTTCCTCCCACCATCCAGAGAGTTGCAGTTTTAGGTTAACTGGTTCACTTCACTAATTCTCACCTCGACAGTAGTTAGTTAAAGCCTGACCCTGTGCTGCTGCAAATCATTATTTTATAATCACGACAACAGCAAACAATATAAACAGGTTGATGACAACAGTTGTGCGATCGGATATATCAGCATTTTGAAGGATTGAGCTCATATCACAGATATCTTAGAGACAACTGTAGCAGGAGATGTCTGGATTCTTTAATTGGAAAAGGTTTTTCAAAATTAAAAGGAGGAGGATCAGAACAAACAGCAACCTGGAGAGCTTCAGGTGATAAACCAAATATTACAATGAAAAATGGAGAAAGTTAGGCCTGTTTCTTGTTTGATAACAGATTTTCAGATACTTCTCTTCGATGCACGACAGAAATAATGAGAGAGGCTGCTGAACTGAGAGCTCTGACAAGAATCCGTGATTCTAGAGAAGCAGCAGAATCCACAAACAAAACTGCACATGAAAGCAGCTCATGATCCGTGGTGTATGAAAACACCCTGCACAAGTCCAGATTAGTCGTACACATTATTGATAGCAGATAGTCAGAGCTGCTCACACACATTTATAATTACTGATGACAGGACAGGGAACTGCTAATGGTTGTTTATCAGTTTTTTCAGGGGAGCTCGGGTCTGTTTTGGGGGGGGGTTAAGCCCCCCTGTTTCCTCTGTAATTCTAATGCTGGTTCAAATCAAACACAGCATAATTAATGACTATAATTAAATCAACTTAAATATTATTAGCCTATGTGACAGTCTACATTTTAAGGAGGGAGCAACTTTAGGCTGAGTGAAAAATGATGGATAGATGGAGGAGAGGTAACGTTCAACCAAAAATTAAAAGCTCAACAAGCATCAGTCCTTGCTTCTCTGGTCATCCATACTGTGTTTTAACAGTCAAACATACATATCCGTTTCCATTATCAGACTACTGAACAAGGAAGAACGAGCCTCAACATGTCACTCCCGAGCTGCTGCAGCGCAGTGGTATGCAGCCACTAAACTTCTGCTCTGTCTGCCATCATTTGTACAGCTTTAACTTACTGTCCCGCAGCTTCAGCCGTTATGTTTTGCCTACAATTTATGAAACAGATATGACAGGGAAAATGCTACCTGATAACAACAAGACACAGCAAAGCCCCACCCTCTCTGAAGTTTGAGAAGGTTAAAAAAGTTAATTGAACATGCACTAAATAAAATACTGAGAAATCTGCAAAAATGTGGGCAAAAGGCTTCGTAATCATTTGTTCCTTTTACTTGAGATGAAAAAAGAGATGCACAAACGGCCAAGTTGGAATAACATCACATTACAAACATTATAAATAACAGTAAAATAAAGCAAAAAACAATGAGTTTTTTTCCATATTGTTCTCAATAGGTTCAGAATTGAAGGAAACAAACAAAGTAAAGATAGTTTTTTTTCAGTTTTTACATTTTTTTTTATAGGTCGTCTATGCAGGGAAGATCAGCTTGATTTCCTTCCATCAGGATCTGTTACGTTTCTGTTAGTAGTATTCATCCTCCAGATTCGGCTGATAAGGATCTTCAGTATCAGCTGGCAGAGGGGGGAAGAGGGGCCTCTCACCATAATCTGCACCAACACATCAACACAATCAGATGGATGGAAGTAAATATAATACCAGTGAAAGACATTGTTTTTACCACATCGTCCTCTCTGTTCTATCAGTGCTGCTTTTGGTCAGTGTTTGTCTTGGATGCAAAGCACTCGGTATCTTGTTTGGAAATGCACATTGTTGGGTAATCAGGAGCTGCTAAGCAAACTTTAAGAAACAGATATGATGCCGTCTTACCACTAGTCAGGCTAACATGCTGTTTGAGGAGGCCGGGGTCAAAGAGCAGCTCCAGCTCCGCTGTGCTTTCATCAGCTCTGCTGGAAGAAGACAACACTAGATGAAAATAGTGACAGTGCCACCATCAACACTGCAGAGGTGGCTGATATCAGAGACAGGGTTTCTATAGTTACGGTGACTGGCTGACAGATTTCTGAGTGATCAAATGAAAGTATAGCACCTACCTCCTCAGCACAGGAGCAGACAGGTGTCCACTAATCACAAGAGAGACAATGAGAAGAGCTAACATGACTTTACTGATCGTGTCTGGCCACGTTGTTAAGAGATCACCTAAAAGTAAACTACTGCGTCAAATCACAACAAAAGCCATCAGCTTCTAGAATTATTACACTTGTTAAAGTGCATCAAACAGTTGCCCCTGCCGGCTCCAGTGTTTATATAATATAGACAGATCAATGAAGAGATATTAGTTATCACAATGTATATATATATATATATGTATATAAGTTGTAAACTATGAAGGTGAAAAGGTGACCTTAACCTGCTAGCAGGATGAGGAAACTTTATCCTGGCAGTCCTCGATGCATCATCTGTTCCATGATGCATCGTGGAAACAGATGAAGCTTCCAGTGGCAAATTACAATCAGGACAACACGGCACTGCAGCAGCCTGATATCAGTAGAGGCAATCAAGATGACAAAAAAGAAAAAAATATCAGTGGTTCATGGAAATGGCACAAAAACAAAACCTCAAAACTTACAGCCGCAACACTGATTGTCTGCAGATGGTCCAAGTGT